CTAATTCTATTAACTATAGCCTTTATTAAGATTTCATCAGTTTCTCCACTAATGTTGTTTCTTGGGCTTGCAATCCAACCCAGGACCCCACACTGCATAAAACGTTTCAATTCACCTACCTGTAGGAATCAGAGTTTCATCCACAGGTAAAAATGTATCTGCGTCTATGGTGACTTCATGGTCATATATGTTTGGGGAGCCCTGGGAGGGAACCGAAAAGGGAAAGAAGAGAAGACAAGTGCTTACTATTATTTTACATTATCTGCTTTATGAATTCTCTTGCAAAAATGTTTTCATCATTGATCAGACCTTCAGAAATTTGTATTGACCCATGGTGATGATTAAATACCACCATTTAACGGTAGGTGGACAGAAGCTCCACATAGTTACCCACGAATCTGGAAGAAGCTTCCAGTGTGTGACCCTCCCCGTGCACTTCCTCTGTAAGTGGAACATGAGACTGGAGAGTCAAGCAGACCAGCAGGGCTGAAAGTCTCTTGGCCCCCGGCTTCTTTCCGAAGGTGCTTCTGCTCTTCTCCCACGTACCAGGCAAACGCAGTAGGAAGGGTCACCGACCTGCCATACACAGGTGGGGCTCACCGGGCACAGCGCGCAGGCTCCCTAGAGGGGGTCAGCTGTCACCCCTCTGTCCCAGCTCCCACTCGGAGGACCCCACCGGCCACATGAAGCAGCCCCGGCGTGAGAACTGCGCACGCTTCTGCAGGCATCAAAGGCTGGGGCAGGAAGCGGGCTCGGTGGCGGAAGGGCTCTCAGTGCCCAGCTCTCACTGTGCGGCCCAGGCAGGTCACACGGCCTCCTGGAATCTCCTTTCTCTTAGTGCCTACGTCTTTTCCCTCTTTCAGAAAGACACGTATCTATTTATCATCCGAACACTAATTTCTTTTATTTTTTTTCTTTGTCTTTTTGGGACAGAGTCTCGCTATGCAGTATACAGGCTGGCCTTGAGCTCACTGTGTAGCCCAGGATGGCATCGAACTCGCAATAATCCTCCTGCCTCAGCCTCCCAAGTGCTGGGATTATAGGCATGCGCCACCACGCCCGGCTCCAGATCACTCATTTCTATTGTTGGAGATTAGTTTTGCTGACTCTAGAACTCCACACATAGAGACTCCTTCAGTAGATATGAGCTTGTGCCTCACATCTCCCACATAACATGAGATCACCCATGTTACTGGATCAATAATTTGGTCCTTTTCATTGTATTCTACTGTATGACATTGTATTCTACTGTATCACAATTTATCCTCTTATAAATGGACCTGTGGGTTTTTTCTCAGTGTCCCACTGTTGCTTATGAATATCCTTTTTCTGTTTTGTTTTGTTTGGTTCGGTTTGGTTTGGTTTGGTTTTTTTCGAGACACAGCCTTGCTATGTAGTTCTGGCCGGCCTCTGGAGTACTGGGATTACAGGCATGGGCCACCACACCTGGCTTATTTTGTTTTTTAAGAACTAGGCTCAGGCATGATGGTGCACACCTGCCATCCCAGCACTCAGGAGGCTGAGGCAGGAAGATCACAGTGAGTTAGAGGCCAATCGGGGCTATCTAGTGAGTTCAGGGCCAGGTTGAACTACATAGCAAAACCCTATCTCAAAAAAACAAACAACAACCAAAAGGAACTAAGGCAGGAAGAAAATGAGTTAACATGAAAATCACACATCAAAGCCCCAATTAACTGGTGAGCCTGAGAAGGCAGGAAGAAGTGGGGAGCAGGGCAGGAAGGTCTATCGGGCACCCCTTCTCTGGGTGCTCACTGGTCACCAGGCAGCAGCGGCCTTCCTGGGTGGAAGAGAAGCACGCTTCATTCTGCGCTTCTCCCGGCCTGGAAAAATACAACGGTGCGCTTGGGTGGAACAGGACTGCTGGATTCGTGTCCTTTCAAGGCTGCTGGAAACTTGGCAAGAAATGCTGCTTCACAAATGCACCTCAAGGCCCATCTCTGCGTTCAGTATTTATCTTGGTTAACTCCACTTAGCTGCTACCAGTTTGTGACATGACTTTACAAAGCCATACGACCTGCGTGGGGCCTTAAACACCTTCACGTGCGCTGCAACTACCGCTGCTGTCACCGAGCTCCCAGCACCCCAGCAGGAGGGCACAGACACGCCTGGTCACTACACAAAAGCCACAGCAAGCAAATCCTCCGACAGCGTGTTCCTTCTCTCCTCGCAGAAACTGACTCCCTTGTTTATTCTATGGTAGGCCGTAAAGTCAGGGGCGGGGACCCACTCCCCACCCCCAGAGCACAAGTTTGTACTGTGCTCAGTTCCAGGAGTACCCAGCCTGAGGCCTCCTTCCTGGCCTCTTTTGTCTTCTTTTTATAGAGTGAAGAATTGTCGGGAGGAACATACAAAATATATAGTATCATGAATATAAATAACAAAATTTCTCTTTAAAAATATTTTTATTATAACATTTTTTAAACAGAGGGCAGAAAAAAGGCAGGCTGCCGGTTGGACAATCTTGCCCTTGCTGGCCGTTAGGTTAGGCAGGGCAAGAGTCACATTTTGGGTCTTCCGGGAGCTTCTAGAAAAGGTTTTCTGTGTTCTAGAGCTGGGGATTTAGCTCAGCGGCACAGCGCCTGCCTGGCAAGCACAGGGTCATGAGTTCAATTCCTGGTACCGGAAAAAAACAACAACAACAAAAAACCAAAAACAAACAAACAAACAAAAATATTTAGATCTTTCAAATTTAGTTTAGTTCATGGTTAAAGATATGTGTCCAAATTTAATCTTTGGAGCCGGGCATGGTGGCGCACGCCTGTAATCCCAGCACTCGGGAGGCTGAGGCAGGAGGATCATTGCGAGTTCAAGACCAGCCTGGGCTACAAAGTGAGCTCAAGGCCAGCCTGAACTGCATAGGGAGACCCTGTCTCAAAAAAGACAAAAAAAAAAAAAGAAAAAAAGAAACGGTTTTATGTGTTCTTAAAAAAGGAGGTGCATTAGAGATGTGAAAAAGGAATAGGTCCTTTCTGGTCTCTGGAGATGACCATATAAGGCAGTAACTCCTGGGGCTGTCACAACCATTCAATGACCACAAAGGGACAAACCCAAGACGAAAACCAAAAGCTGAGAAAGTAGAATGGACATGGAGGAGCCCGGGTTCCTGTGACGCTCTCTACCCAGTCAGAGCGGAGCCACAGCCGCTGCTTTTCCTGTCACATTCCCCCACATTCGCTCCCACAGCCCTCAGGTAACGCTTCAGATAAAGAAACACGTTCTGTGGGTTTTGTATTAGGCACAGGAGGGGACAGCAAAACAAAACAAAACAAAAGTGCTGCACCCTACAGACTTTTTCCATTCCTTGAGAAACACGGTTCTCTCTCTGCCGCCTCCCAGGCCTCCAACGCTGGAAGTTAGAAGCGATGGGCCAATTCTTGGCCCCCAAAGTAAAATAAAACTACTACTTAAGTTTAGAAAACAAAAAGGTGAAAGATGAGCTGACTGCTTTAAATATCAAGCTTTGAGTTCCCTGGAGAGGGTGTGAGGCAGATAACAATGCTTCCCAGGGGAGGGCAAGGGAAGCTCTGGAGGTGCAGCAACCTTTGACCACAGGCCTGTGATCCTTCATCCACCCCTGGCCACGCGACTCCCAAGGTAGATGCCCTCACCCTTGAAGCAGGTGCCTGTGGATTTGAGCCACACTTATTAAAAGGTAATAAAGGGGGAAGCCGGGCATGGTGGCGCATGCCTGTAATCCCAGCACTCGGGAGGCTGAGGCAGGAGGATTGTTGCGAGTTCGAGACCAACCTGGGCTACAAAGTGAGCTCAAGGCCAGCCTGAACTGCATAGGGAAACCCTGTCTCAAAAAGATAAAAAAAAAAAAAAAAAAAAAAAAAAAGGTAATAAAGAGGGATTTTACAGCTAGGTGTGGTGGCACATGCCCTGTAATCTCAGCACTCAGAAGGCTGAGGCAGGAGGATGGCTGTGATTTCAAGGCCAACTTGGGCTA